TTCCCTAAAAGAAAGACACTGAAGAGCCACTATGGAAAAAAAATGGAGAATTAAAATCAAAAGCTCTCCTATTTTTGTCAGCCCTAGACACTGCTAGTTTTGTCTTCTGTATTTCTTACTGTTCTTATCTCTACCTAATGTTAAATCAGCTTTGAAAAATCTGTCACAGGAAACAAAACTAGAATGGTCAGAGCCCAAATTCTGAGAGCAGGTCTAGATATCCAGGCCTATGCACCCACGATGTCAGTCTGGAAATGGCTGAAAAATTCAAAAGTAAACTGGGTAAACTGTGTAAATCACTGCCACTCCAGGGCCTGTCTTTATTTGAACCTCCATCATTCTCCCTAGTGAAACCCCTATTTGTTTGGGCTTTTTGATTCTAGTTGTAGTTGTACTGCAGACAGTAGTTACTCATAATCTGCTTGGGGAAAATGTTTCATGTCTATTCAAATGATCACATTCTTCTTTAACAGATATATTAGTGCAAATTTCATGCAACTGCTATCTTGATTTGAATCACACAGGAACAAAGAGGCTTTAGAAGATCTGGCTATGTTCAAAGCTATGTTGTTTGGACTTTGTTAGAACCCGTTTAATTCAAAGCTTTGGCATGGAAGACACCTGGAACACATTTCCTTCCAAATCAGCCTGCCTTTATTCAACAGAGAAAAACACCCTTTTTTAAGGAAGTAATCATCAATGATCACAGCCACAGTATTAACTATGCTTCTGTCCCCTTTCTGGTCTCTGAGGTGTCAGACTTTGTGCCCTTACCTACATTCTGTCCAAGCAAGTCCAAATACCTGCAGTTCTCCCCTTAGGAAGCATGCAACTCAGGGGTGGGCAAAATGTGGCCTGGGGGGCAGATGCGGCCCACCAGGCCATTCTATCCGGCCCACAGGGCCCCCACAAAATTAAGAAAATTAATATTTATCTGCCCCTGGCTACCTGCCATGCAGCCCTGGATGGCTTGCCAAAACTCAGTAAGTGGCCCTCCGCCCAAAATAATTGCCCACCCCTGATGTAACTAGTGGTAGATAGTGACAAACTTCCTAAAACCAGAGCACCATTTATTTTACCAGTGAGCCCAAAGCACCCAGAGGAAGGAATTTTAAAAAGACAACAGGCTACAAGCATGAATACCTGACCTAAAATTTACCATCCCCTTATGGGATCAAAGGCATATCTAATTTCCTCTTACACCCACACACACTAGTTCTCATGAGAGTCCTTTTTTAAACCCTGATACAGCTAATTTCTTCTGTGTTTGAGGACTTTTTTTTTTTTTTTTTTTTGCTTTTTCTGGTAAAAAACAGTTTTATGGGTTGGCTAGAAATGTTGTGGGGGAGGAAGTCAGCAAGACTAATACTTCTAGCATTGTCCCTTAACCACTCTTAAGCAAGATGACAGGTAACTATTCTCAGCCATTCTTTTCCTTTCTGCCAGTTTTCCCAGGCATAAACCAAACATTTAAATTTAAATTTTGATACTTTTCATACTGGCATTTCTTAACTTCTGACTCTGAAGATGTTCTGGGTCTGGTCCAGATTTGCCCCCTCCTACAATTGTGATTTATTGTTACCTTACACAACAACAACAGAAATAAGCCTCCTGAGCTTAGCTGTTCCTAGAGGTTTTTCTGTGCATGCTCCCTCTGTATGTCTAACAGGAAAAAGTAAAAAAGAAAAAGCTTTTTTACTCCTGCACTGAAGCTAATAGGATTCACCTGATCTGGCTGCTTTGCTTCTCTGTGGATAGTGTTAAACCCTGCCAATCTGTTGCAGTGTAGAATTTAAGAGACTCTTTTGGTCTCCTAAATTCTTGAGGAAGTGTTTTAAATAGGTATCAATTTCTGATTAAATCAGATCATATGTGCTACAACACAAGAACCTTCTCTGATCTTTCCTAAAATGTATCTATCTACCTGAAACAAAGTACTTTAAAAAGACTCACTGGTCTACCCTCAAATCACAGAAAGGTAAAATGAGATGCAGAGAATCAGGCAGAGACAGGCTGGCCTGCTAACAGCAGATATATGTTCCCCTCCTGCACAAAAGGCAAACAGAAAAGACCAAATCATTGCATAAATTCTGACACTAGTGCAGCTGTATTCTCCCCCGACTCACCCTGGTCCAGGAAAGCGGCAGGGCCATGCAATGAGTCTGGAGTGACACCATAAATAGAAAAGAGCTGGGCACCCAATCCTACAGATCTTTCCTAGCAGCACAGACAGATTCATTCATCCTCCCTTGTAATTTTTGTGCATCCACTTCAGTAGCTCACTAGGACCAATGTTTATGCAAGCTCAGCCTGCCAGCTCCCATCTGCGCTCTGCTTCTCTGAAGAGGAGAGTCACAAAGAGCACAGTGGGAGCTAATACTGCCTCAGGTAGCATTCCAATTCTGGAGATTTTCCCATGGATTGCAGTTACTCCTGCCTTTTTCCAGGAGTGGGGGATTTCTGAACAGCCCAAAGACAATACGATTTGAGAAAGCAAAAGAATGCCTCTTCATTATCATGTTGATTTACTAACCTCTGCATCATACACAGTGGGGATCCAGTATTTGATGACTAAATGTAAGCATGAAGTCACCCCGATGGAGTTAAAGAAAAAAACATGCTACAGTATGCTGCTTCAGTCCTACCCACTGTCCTTTCAAGAGTAAATAATGTTTGTGCTGTTCACGCTATATAAAAGGATCTTTCATGATAAAAAAGGGGGAAATAAGTGGTACTAGCAATTATGTACAAGGCAGATTCAGATTCCAGTAGCTTTTCATTGGAAAGAGGAAGCTTCTTCCAAGCAAAACAAGGTGCTTAGAACAACCCCATTGCAAAGCTGCTGATACTAGCATGGACAAACAATTTTTAGTTTGCCATTTTGGAGGTCGGCGGGAATAGAGTTGTTTATTTTGTTTGCTTATTACTTACCACCAACTTGAATTGCTAAACAGTTAAGAGACTGAACACAAAGTAAGCAAATGCTGCACTGAATGTATTCCATCATCATTTAACAAGAACAGCATAAAAGGGACTCATTTAGAAAAGCAAATGTATCTTGTTTCTCGAGTCCCCAGATAGCCACTACTTCCTTTGTTCATCGCCAGTACAACCCCATACTCTGACACACGTGCACCCGCACAGAGACTATCCAGCGAAGTATAGTGGCTTGCACTGATCTATTATCTACTGTCTCCACACACAGTAGACTCAGAATAAATAAATCAATTCCATCTATTTGCTCAGACACCACAGGCACAGATTATTTTCCTCCCTCTTAATCTTCAGTCCAGGTTAGTTTCTCTCCCTCTCAGGCTTTATTTGGAGCAGGGAATGAGATCAAGGTTAGATAGGCAATAGCTAACTCAACCTTTTCCTAAAATCAACACAGGGAAGGGGAACACCATTTATCTTGTTTAACTGGTCAAGGTTGATGCTAAGCCCTCCACAGATGTCTCCTCTCCTGAACATGAAGATTAAGCACCGTCCAAACTGGGTTTAACTGGAATGCAGAAGGGGGCTTTTGTGAACTCAGAATTTGCCATCGTTTCTCCAAGAACTGCAGAATCAACTGAACAAAGCACAAAGGTAAAACGTCTTTCTGGGGATGCTGTTTTGCGAAATGGAAGTTTGGCAGGTATGGAGGAAGGGCTGTCTCTGCTCCACCACCTTGCTGGCAGCTCCTGCAAAGAACTATGTGTCTGCAATACCCTACCCTCAATTTCTGGTTTTGACTCTCCACTGAAGCTCTCTCACCCTGTCTTTGCTGCTCCTCACATGGTTCCAGGCACCAGAATGAGATTTAGCAGATTCTCATCAATAAAAAGCTTCAGATTCTCCAGTAATTGAGGGCTCCAACTTGGAAGAACCTCAGCCTGGCAAGGGAACTTTCTGTGTAACATGTAATATACAGCCAGGCTTTCCTACACACCCACACAGCTAGGGCCCTACTCAGAGAATCACAGAAAATTAGGGTGGGAAGGAACCTCAGGAGGTCATCTAGTCCAACCCCTTGCTCAAAGCAGGGCCATCCCCATCTAGATCATCCCAGGCAATGCTTTGTGTTGCCTGGTCTTAAAAAACTCCAAAGATGGAGAT